TGTCATAGAAAAAAGTGACAATAAAGGTTCTCTTCTCCTCTCTTCTCTTCTTTTCTCTTCTCTTCTCCTCTCCTCTCCTCTCCTCTTCACACCTGGTGGCACTTTTAAAAATTAATTCTTGGTTGGTTAGATCTGTCAAAACAAATACATACTCATGTTCTAACTACAAGACCTCTTTCTCTGTATCTTTATTTTTCCCTTTTGATTACCATTTCCATCAATTTTTCATGAACCAGATGTTAAACTGAGTGGCTTATAATTTCATAAATCTTCTCTGGGTCATTATTTAAAAATTGATACCATGTCGATTCTTTCTCGTCTTTTGGGATGAACCTGATTTGAGGGCAAAACTACATATTTCACTAAGAAATAATAGCATATTTGATTTATTTAAGAATTGTCAGATATAGTAAATGCTATCAGCACCTAGTGACTCGTTTTCTGTATAGTTTCTCAAAATATCATTGAATATTTTCTAGTTACCCTGATTTGCGTTAGGTGTTCTAATCCTCTGGCTGTCTGAGAAAATTAATTTTGGTTCAGATGCCTGTCCTGTATTGTCTGTTAGATGTAAAGAACTGTAAAGAACTTGTTCTTTTTCTGAGCAATCTCTGAATCTTCCTTACCATTTTTTTTTATTATTTTCCCCTCATTTAGCAACCAAATTGCTTCCTTGCCCAGTTTTCTAGGCTGAATATTTACTTTATTTTATTTATGTATTTAAAACATTTATCTAGCTACCCATCTTCTAACCAACTCTGGGTGGCTCCCAATCATGTGGGATTATCCCAACCATATGGAAATATGTTTTTAAAATTTCACACTTTTTTTACTTCTCTTTTGTGCTTTCTATTTACTAAAAAAATGCTACCTTAGTTTTTATAGCTTCCTGGATATTAGAAAACTATGTTGGCATCTTGGACTTGGACTTGGAATGTGGAATACATTCCATTGGGTCTCAATTATTGTGGTTTTAAATAACTGCTGGCATTATGGATTAATCTAGCCCTTTTTCATCAGTTCCTTCCTTTTTTAGAAGTTTCGCCTTTTGTAGTCAAAAGTGACTAGTTTGGACCTTGATGGCTATTTTTCACTGGAAAACATGCTAAATGCAGTAGTATTTTTGTCAAGGTTTTATCTCTGTTCCATTACACTTGTGTTTCACACCACAATGTAGCCATTATTTAAGAGTACACCTGATAACCAACTTCATATGTGTATGTTACTGATAAAAGAAATGTTTGTAGCTCAGGGTTGAAGTGTGGGGTCCTTGGTGTTTTTTGAGCTTGGTGGTAACCTGAAACTGTTTCATTACCTGAACAGGTAACATCACCATAGATCAGCGGTTCTCAATCTATGGGTTGCGACCCCATTTGGGGTCGATCAACCATTTTTCGGGGGTCGCCAAAGACGGCGATCCGCCATTTTCTCCCCTCCGGGGGCGGCGCCACGCATGGAGCGCTGCCACGCATGCGCACCGTGCATGGAGCGCCGGCACGCATGCGCGCCGTGCATGAAGCGCCACCACGCATGCACGCCATGCATGGGGGCGCCGCTGCGCATGCGCACCGTGCGTGGGGCGCCGCATCACGCATGCGCATAATGTTTGTGTGACGGGGGTCACCGTCACACAAACGTTGAGAACCGCTGCCATAGATCATAGTTTGATAATTAAATGTCTGCAAGAAAACCACCAAGCTCAGAGAGCACCAATGACTCCACATGTGTATGTGTATAGAATATCTGTATCTCCAAGAAGCTTCTTCAGTTCTTCAGTTCTTTTGAAGAAGCTTCTTGGATGAGAAGTAAAATGTTTTCAAACAAAAACCAAGTTGCCTTTTGGAAAAAGCATCTTTCAGATAATCATGACCTAGACGATTGAGAATCTCCATAGAGATATATCTCTGGGATGTCTGAGAAAGCCCAAGCAATGCAACATATGTCATGCTATCACAATACAAAGCCCCTACTTTTGCCACATACATCTGATGTCAGGACGTAAGTCCAAAAGGCAGTGTTTGTGTGATGACATCACAATGCTTGTTTTGACAGATTTTTGCCTGGGGATAGAAATAGGTCCCTAGGTCAACTTAAAATATATATCCTTGGCAAATATCTCAAGCTGGAACTAAAGCTCAAATATGTTCTTCACTCAACATACCAAAACATTTAGTTATTCTTAGCAATATGCTTATTGCCAGCCATATGCAGAGGAACAGAACATTAATAGTGTGGTGCATAATCCAGGTGTTGCCAGATAAAAAGTATATTTCCTTTCCTGTATTCCTGTGCTAGAAACTGGTCTGTAGGAGTATTTTGAACCAATGAGAAAGCATCCCAAGTTTTCATTAGGGACCTCATATATCCATATATGTCACTCAAGTACTCTCTGGAGATTCTCTGAGTACAGCTTGCTTAGTACATTAACCAATAAAGTTATGCTTGGTTACTTCCACTGAATATGCTCATTTGCTGAATGGCTGGAAGCTGCAGGTAATTTGAAAAGGGATGCTAATGTGCCAGAAGGAAGGGCTGAATTTTGAATATGCAGTTGCTTTTCTTTCTTCCCTCTCCCCGCCAACTATCTGGAATTCCTCCATATAGACTCCACTCGGAACCAGAAAATCAATGTGCTTAAAAATCCACTTCAGCTTTGCTTATTTTGATACTTGTACCTTGCAAGATGCAAAGGTTCAGCTTGGAGTAGCACTGGTGGATTTGGATCATCTTTGGAATCAACATTGCTTCAAATGAGGAACCCACATGACTCACAAGTACTACCGTGTTTTCCTGAAAGCAAGGCCTACCCTGAAAATAAGACCTAGCTTGATTTTGGGGGGTGGGCCTAATATAAACCCAAGCCCAAAAATAAGCCTTAGTTTTGGGGCGAGGTACACACCTAAAAATCAAACTAAGGCAAGGGTCGGGGTACGAAGCTGCCCCATGCGCCCTGCACCCACTTACCTTGCAGCCAGGCCTCTCTTCACTGGCCCACTTCTTCTGAGGTGTCTTTGCAGCCAGACCTGCATTTCTCAGACACAGGTCTTTCCAGAAGGTCTCTGCAGCTGAGAACTGAATTATGGATTCAATCCATAGCTCAGTACTTGGCTGCAGTGGCCTTCCAGAAAGCTCTGACTGCAAAATGCAGGCCAGAATGCAGCTACAGAATGAAGCTGATCCTTCGGCTGCAGAAGAAGTGGACCTGCTAGTTGGGGCTGTTGGTGCTGGAGGTGAGTATAAAAGGCATCCCCTGAAAATAAGATCTGATGCCTCTTTTGGAGGCAAAAAAACCCCCTGGTCTTATTTTCGGGGAAACACGATAGGTTTGTTTTTAATAGCTTCTCTTATTAGAGGGCAGGACAAGAAGTAAGCTTATTAAAGAGAGATCCAACATAGAACTAAGGAGAAATTTCCAAGCAGTGAGAACATTATATTGCTCCATTACTAGAGGGTTTAAAAAATAGGCTGCACAGGACTTCCGGTTTGCGCTCATAGCACATTGATTTTACTGGGGAGACAACATGGATATGACATACTCATCAAAAAATGTTAGAAAACCACACTTAATATCCACTCCTGAAAGATTTAGCCTGAAACATCAAAGACCTTTAGAAACACTTCAAGACAAGACAAATACTTTCCAAGATGAAATTTATGGAATGCTACGACAGATACAAACTACAATAGGCTTAAACCATGAGGAGATTAAAAATAACTTTGATACTTCTAAGTTAAATCTACAATCAAAAAACATCCAAAGAATGATGGTAAACAATGAACAAACAATCCAGACAACAGAATGTGAATTAGAAAAAAATGACTTAACTGATGAAGTTACAAATGAAGGGAATCATAACTTAATACAAATAAGAAAAAACTTACAAGACTTGGATACAACAACAAATATGGAAAAGATACCTTATGCGTTAGAATGTCAAAATAAAGAGAAGAAAGAAGACTTAACAAAATGGACACTGCTAGGAGAATCATTGTTTGGGAGACAAAAAGCATACATCCTATCTAATATATATCCTCTATTCCTAACAACAACTAACAAAAATACAAGAACTGGACAAGTTGAAAATATTAATTTGGAAAACGATTTGGCAAAGGAAGACGATTAGAGACGGGCTGAAGAGACTGGATTCGCCCTACCAGATGGAATATTATATGAGTAAACACTTGTTTGAATATGGCTAAATAAACAAATAACTTTGACCATAAAGGGACCTTAGAATAAATGGGATAAGAGATATAAGTAATATAATATTTTTTGATAAGATACAAAATGTAAAAATATTAGGATGCTGTAAGTGAAGGAAAAGTTTGAATTTTAAAGACAAATTAAGTTTGAAAAGATTTAGGATTAAGGAATGATTGAAATATTGAGGGGAAATTAGGCTTAATAAGAACTCTGAAAAAAAGGATATATAGTGATTTAACTAATTTTTACAAATAGAAGTGAAATATAAATTGACTAGAAAGGTGTTATGGATAGATGTCATGATAGATAAGTAGTATATATGAAATATGAAAATACTGGGATGATATATTTAAATGGAAAATTTGGATAGTTAGATGTTAAATACTGGGAAAATATGATTGACAAGAATTGTTTGAATATTATGGATACATGGTGAAACAATAAGTTGACTCTTACAAAAATAACATAAGCTGATAAGAAAAAATGCTATATATAGACGCTACTATTGTTGGTATAAATATAGAAGAAAATATTTTTATTTAATCATTTAAATATGAAAAATATCAAATAGTGGTGTTTGATACCGTCTGTATTATTCTGTGCACTGATTTCTGTAATGTGCTTGCAACTCAATCCCCTGTATATTACAGGGAGGGAGGGAGGGAGGATGGGAAAAAGGAAGGAAGGAAGGAAGGAAAGAAGGAAGGAAGGAAGGAAGGAAGGAAGGAAGGAAGGAAGGTGCCAATCAATCCAGGGGTATAGATCCAGGGGTGGTAATCAAGTATAAAACTTCATATGGGGAGCACCCATGCATATCCAAACATTGAGACAAATCTATGGGGAGTGCATTGGCAGAAAGCAGTATTAAGCAAGTTGTTTGCAGATGAATGTAGGAGAAAATAAGACCTTATATCAAACATCTACATTAGGAAAAGAGAAGACATGAATAAGAACAGGAGAGGACTTGCTAAGGGGTATTAAGCAATAAAGTCCTGGAGGTGAGCATGGTACTAATCTGCTGAATTCCAGTCCTCTAAAGAAGATGCACTCTGTGACAACGCCCCCCCCCCCAAGCACAACCCATATTTCATAGGGAGTGAATCTTTTTAATCATCACAGGATGTTTCAGCAATGTAAGAAGCCCTGCAGTGGTTGAACAATGCATGAACAGCAGCCGCTGCTTCTCTCTCTTTCTCTCTCCCCCCCCCCACCTCATGTTCTGTGTCTGTTGCTAAACACGCTTGCTTCTGTCTTGTTTTTGCCCAGACAGAGTCTGACAGAACATCCAGCTTTATGGGATAGAGATTACCAGTAACATCCTGCTGAAGACCTGGTCCATCAGCTTTATAAAAACAGGACAGCTTTCAGGGAAAAGTCCACTCCTGTCATTTAGAGAGGCAGGAGAGGGAGGTTTTCGGCTAAAAGAGTAACTTTGAACAAGACCTCTTACCTTGGACTCACCACAAGATTCTGCAGAGTGGAAAAAGAGTGCAAATCTAAGAACAAAGAGCTGGGTCAGCTGCTGCAATGAAACAGTAACTCCAGGTAAGTGGTTTTTCTAAATGCATTTTCCAACAAGAAAGTTGGAAGGGAGTGAGATGGAAAATGCTTTTTTATTTAGTGGAAACCTTCATGGTTTTTTGGGGGGGGAGAGCTTATTTCATACCATGTGGTTGAATGTGTTGATGCTGCTATCATCTATAACACTTCCTTCTTTTGCTGCTAATTTTTGGCAGGTGATGGTATTATTATTTTTTTTAAGCAAGATGCAGGACATAAGATGGAAGCATGCAACTTCCTATGCCATACGTAGACTTGTTTCTTTTATTTCACTGGCATCTCTGATGAAATAGGCTTTGCAGTTTGGGAAATACTACACTGATCCTCAGAATGTACTGTATGTATGGAGGCAACAGAGGAATAAGCATTCAGGTCATGGGCATTGATGCCCATCTTTGTTTATTGGGAAAAAATTGCCTGTCATTAATTTCCAATGGTGAAGCAAGACTGCACGTGGTATAAGCAATCTTCCTAGGAATGTCAAAATGTTTGCATGGTGAAGCTGAGATTGGGAAGCACAGGACTGAGGGAAGAGAAACGTACAGATTGGGTAATATTCCTAGTTCCTTTTGTTCCCTGGACGTTTCCCCAGGAAAAAATCTTGGGGAATTCTCTCCATCATCTTTACTTTTGGAAAACTCTAGGTTTCTTCTATCTGCTGCTCTCCCTTTGGCACTTGATCCACAAAGACTAGATTTATAAAACAAACTCTACATTTCTTTCTTGCTTTGGCCTTTTTGTATATTTTGACATGCTTTTTTGCCCACTTGCTTCTGGATCTAGTCTGCAGATTCAGAATGAACTCTGGCTGAAGAGCTTTGGCTTTTGAACATTGAGCAACATCAGATAGTTTGGAGACTAGGCTTCCCCATATATAAAGGAATCCCACAGTCTAATAGTTAGATCGATCAGATACGGTGTGACTTCTGGTGAAGATATAGCAGCAGACCTAGCACTTTTAGTACTTCTTGAATTTCATTTCTTCTCTGCCTCCATCCTAGCTTATTGCTTCTTTTGTGCTCGGTAGGCTGAGCTCTTTGGTTACACCTAGAAAAAGAAGACATTTATATCCCAGCTTAATTTTTTAAATAGAAAACTCAAACTCATATAGGAAGATAATGTTTATGGGTGACTTTTAAAAGAGAACTCCTTGCAGTTAATTCCTACAGCTTGGTTAGATACCAAGGCAGTCATCCATGAAAATGTCCTCCCCATTACATCCCCCCCCCCATCCACACAATTTGGGAATTAAAATAAATGCCTGCAGTATGTTTTGGCTAAAGTCCTGAAGACTACCTGTGTCTTTAGCCAGCATGAAATAGCAACCACAGTGGCATTCTCCTCCTCCAAATTCTTTTTTCTTTTTTGGGATGGAGGAAATGAAACTGAATACACTGCCCTTAGATAACTTGCTAAAATTCAACTCTAGTTTGTTTCTCTTTGAGAGAGGGGTTGGAGAACCATGTTGCTTTTTGTTTTAAGTAGGAGAATCATCTCAGACTAGTCTTCCTAGTCCTGAAACTTTTTTGTTCCCTCCACATGAGACAAATGCGACTCCTAGAATGGCTCCATGCCAGCAGGATCACAGTTCATCATCCTCATCAGATAGCAGAGCCCATAATTTTTCAGCTCCGTGGCAGCCCAAGAGGATCATTGCAAATCTGTGAGAGAAATGGGCAAGTTTCAAAATTAGACACATTGGTGTGTGTGTGTGTTTGTGTGTGTGTGTAATGAAAATGGTGGCTAGGTGGAAATGCCTTATGTGAGGACTAATGGAGTTGTTGCACACATTGTGTATTATCATGTTCCAGTTTGTGGTTTTTATTTCCTTAATTGTAAGCACCTGAGAGCTTTATTCAGGTCACGATTACTGTGTGCTTCAAATAAATTCATTCTTCCTGCAAGGGCACAGAGTTAAAAACAACAACAACAAATCACCTATTACAATGAACCTGTGTGCTTCCCATCAAGTAAATACAATTGTAATATGAAGCCAGATGTCATGCAATATCAGAAAATGACTCCCGTTGAGTGGGATTGATCTTTTGACAGAGATATCCAGGTTAGTTTGGTTTGACAAGGCTGGAAGGCTTCACCTTGTGTTGCTGGCTTTTGGCGCAATAGTCTGAAGTTTTTGTTTTTCATGTTAATTGCAAGACTCTAGGCTTGGCTAGAAAACATGCTTGGTTAGAAGGATTGAACTGAACATTTATTCTTGGGCATAGAAGCATGTTTCTTTCACTTCTAGTTTTGTGCATCTCCTTACTTTATCAGAAAGTATTCTACATGCTAGTTAATATCTGTCTTTGTTTAGGTCTTGGATCCATGGAGATTGATGTAGCTGGATAACTAGGACTTCAAAAGCAGGCTGTTAAGAATGTGGGATAAAACAGTACTGTATTCTTTCTCTTTGACAATCATGCTAAATGTAAACATGGTTTTATTAGAATCCTCAACAAAATAACACTGCTGGGAGTATCGTGATTGCCCTCTTCTGGCTGCATATTATAATCCCCAGAACTTTCCCTTGAGTTTGTTCCTTGTTCAAAGATGACTTTGAACCTACCCCTTTCCTCTCTTGGGTAAATAGATTCACTCTTGCACCAAAAAAATGGATTGGGAGAAGCTACCAGGTGGTAATCAAGTGTAGCTTGACGTTCTTGACTGAGAAATTTAGCACAAAAGTCAAACTCAAAATGAGGTTTCAGAGTAGTGCAAGTTTTATACAACTGTTATTTTCCAATTTTTTATTACCTGAACTGTGCTTCTCATCCAGATTTCACTATTGCTTTGATCTGATGTTTGGACAAGCAGGAATTATTCACGTATAGTGCTTCCCAATTCTTGTGCATCTTACAAGGTAACATGTATACTTAAAGACATCCTTGAAAAGTCTATTCTACTATTAATTCTCTGAGCTTATCAGAGGCAATTAATTCTTATCTGAGGCAATGCACTTAGCTGAAGTGCAAAGTCTCTTAGCTTAATTTAAAGAAACACCATAAGAGGGGACAAAAAGAACAGCTCATATTAAGTATGGAACATTCTTTCAGAGATAATGCTCATTTGGTTACTGCCTTGTTTAGTGATCATTCACAGTTATGATGGTGATGAAAAAGTAACTTTGCAACTAGTCTTCACATTTATGACCTTGGCAGGCCCATAGAGCAATTTATATTGTGCTTATATGTCCTATAAACTGCCTTGAGTCGCCATGTGTAAGACAGCAATATCAATTTTCTCAATAAACAAAAATAAACAAAAAAGATCATATGCTTATGATCTTACTTCAGTTTTCTTTTGCTTTATAGACTTGCTAAGTAATTGCTTCATTTAGTGACTGAGTTGCCGATCACAATTGTGGTTGCTAAATAAGGACTCTGTAGTGAAATTCTATGGTGGTAGTTAAACAGATATGTCTCTCTCAGTTCCTCTGGATTGTAATGGCATGTGGGAATGGCCTTGGGAGACAGGGGCAAAGAGATGTTGCCATGGAGAAGTAGCCCAATAAGTGGAAACAAGCCTGGGTTAGGTGGTGAAAATATTAGTATCCAATTTTCTTTGTAATCCATACTTCAAGCTGATATCAGAAACTGTTTCTGGATAATCAGATCTGAACCAAATGGTGACTGGTGGTTTTGTGACTGTCAGTCTTTTCTTCACTTTTTCCTTTCCTTTCAATCATTACCACTTTTTCTGCCTGAGAGAGAGAGAGAGAGAGAGAGAGAGAGAGAGAGAGAGAGAGGGAGAGAGAATCCTCTCTGGCAGCAGGATTCTAACATAAAGAAGGATTACTGAACCAAGCTAAACAATCAGTGCACTGAATTTGCATCTTCAAAACCCCTTCACACAAGATCATGCACCAATCCAAAGGTTATGTATCACCTTTTTCTCCATTTGTCTTTTTCAGTGGCTGACATTTTTTTCAGTGTCCTCCCATGTGTGAAGTTCTTTTGTTTACTTGCTTGCAGTTTACAGCCCTTGCAGTGGGAAATGGAAGGATTTATACTCCTTGCAGACAGCTGGTCATTTGCATTCTTTTAGAGGATTGTTGAGGCCACTTGGAGATTTATCTGCATCCTCAGGGTTACCTGAGTAGTGAAAATGGGTGTGGAGCCTTCTTGGAATTGCTGAAAGGACTGTATTGTAGACTGGAGATAGATGTGGGTCACTCATAACCAAGCAAATCATTGCAGCTACTCTGTCATTTGTAGCATCCCTGACTTTTTGTCCATATCTTGTTTTCTGTGAATCTTTCTCCTTGCCCAATATACTGTTAGTTCCTTGAGACCTCAAGATCATGTTCACCTTGAGAACGAAAATTTTGTTCCTTCCTGCACTCCATGAGCTGTAGTTTTCCTGATTCCATTTCCAAAAATTCCTCAGAATTTCCTCTAGCTGTTCAGGAGGCATCCTTTCTTCTTTGTGGAACTTCTTTACATCTTTATTTCAACTGTTGGAACCCATAACTCTGTTAAAGATGGGGCAAATGCCTGTGAGTGCTCCTGAAAATGGGAGTTTAACATGACCACAAATTAGAAAAACAAGTTTCCTGCTATAGCAGAAACCTCATTTATTTACAGAAAATATACAGTGGAGATAAGCTTAGAATCTAGCTACCGTAGTTACATTCTATTGGGAGGAGAGTTCAAAAACATATATTCTGGGTATGTGTATGTATGTGCATGCTCCTGGGGAAAAAACAAGAGAAAGTGACAGCAGGTCAACACTTTCCTAGACGAAGAGCAGGCAGTATGATAGACAAAACAGGGCTACAGGATAAATCTTTAACTCTCTACCTACCCTTACTGCCTCCCTTGTGGCCAGTTAGTCATGAAATACTGAAGACTTAGCAGCATTGGATTTCACCTACAAGAGCCAGAAGACATAGGACAATCTGGGATCCGGATAGTTGAACACAGTATCTTATTATCAAAAATTGCTACAGCAAAGGCTATCTTGTCCAGCAGAGTTTTATTTTTAAG